AGGACACAAGCCCTGACAGAGTCATCTTTGCATGCTCAGAACATTTCACCTAACCAGATGTAAGTGATGTGCACATTTCAGAGAGAACATTTTCTCTACCATGTGATGGGCTGAATAGTGTTGCCCCCAAATTCATGTCCTTCCCCAAATGTCAGATCAAACTTTCTTTGGAAACAGACAAGAAACACCTCAAATATACAAATCTGCCTCTGACAGATCCTCATGGAGCTTATAATACAATCTTGTCACCCCAGGAAACTACAGAAATTCTAAATGCTTTGATTTGAGAACTTTTAAGAGGACTTCTTATCTAAGTACATTTTGTGAATTTTGCAGTCTTCCTTACATCTGATTCTTAAAATTTTCTTATGGGCATTGTGCTCATTGTCACATATCCAACTGGATGACTTAACAATGCGCTCTGATGACGAACTCCTTTCAGCAGCCCTGTGGGGGAGTCCCCGCCAGGTCCAGTCTTGGAGAAACCCATCTGGGAGGAACTAGACTTCCTCCTCCTTCAGGCTCTGGGGAAGATCCTGTCCCTCTTCTCCCGGGGTGGCATTTCCCGACTGCTGTGCTGTCCTTCTAACTCTGTGCTGCCTGGGATGGCAGCTGTGCTTGTAAACCAAGGGCTAAAGTGATGGGACAGTGAGTGCAGGTTTCTTCTGTTGCAATCACAGTATTACAAGTCACCGATCCTCACTCATCTCCTGATAATGCTGCTCTTATTCTATTCCCTGTCACTGCAGAGGAATGCGGAGATGTTTCTCCAACCTCGCCCTTGTTTTTCTTTGCTTATCAGCTCACCTGGGACACCTACCCACTTTCTCCCCTACAAGGGACAGGACCCAGATGCAACGGTGTGCAAGGAGATGCACGGATACAGCGGAGTGGGCAGTCCGAGCCTGTGTGTGTGGTTCCACGATGCCATATCATCCCCCTCACCAACTATTCTGCCCGGTGTCATGGTTGATACATTGTGTTGACTTGAGAAGCTAAGCAACTCAGCAGGGAGCCAGGGGCCGGCCTTTAAAACATCCTCATCTGGTGCCAGGGGAGGGCATGGAGGTGGGGTAAGCGCTACACCCTGCCTGGGTGGGGAGGAGTAGCCTGCTTACAATATAAGGGAGGAAAAAGGGGCACGTTCTCCCCCTTTTGCTCTTGCTGCTTTTGCTGTCTTCTGCCACTTTGGACTACTGCCCTTGTGCTATGCCACCCTGCCTTGGAGCCAGCTGATTATTGACTGAAACCTCCACAAACTGTGAGCTAAATAAACCTTTCTTCCTTAATTTTGGGTATCAGGTATTTTGTCTCAGCAATGAGAGAAAAGTAACCAAGACACCCAGAGAACAAGTGGCAATCCTTCTGCCAGGGACGTTCCTCTGGAGCTGACCTCATCAATTATGTCCTTGATGGGTTGCTCTCTGCTCTTCATGGGATGGCGAGGTAACCCAAAAGGCAAAAGAAGAACTATTCATCAAAAAACCCAAGAAAGCAAAAAAGTCAGATGGTTCTACTCTAGAGATGCTGTAGGGGTGTGAAGGATGATGCAAAAATTTAGCATGGATGGAAAATCCTCCAACCTTGCCATGTTACTTACTACTCATTGCTGTTTGCATGGGTTCTATTTACCTCAATTACAACTCAGAGGGGGAAATGGGATTTCAGTTTCTCCCAGGTAGGACTATTTTACATCCTACATGGGAAACAAAGCCTACAAAAATAGGTGACTCAGGCCACCCCGCCAGGCCTGGCTGGACCACACTGACTCTACCACTTCCACTTGCACTCAAGCTAGGCTCTTAAGACAGCACCTTGGGGCTAATTTTCAACTTCTGCTAGGAGTGTACCCAAAGCTTCATTGCCATGGACATGGACCCACATGGACCCTCATTGGACAAGCCAGGGCCAGGCTGTACTAGGTGGGCAAGGGTCAGAAAGAGAGCCCTGTGACTTGAGTCATGTTGACCCATGCTCTTTAAAGTGTGGTCCTGGGACCAGCAGCATGAGCATCCTGGGAACTTGTCCAAACGTCCATCCTTGGGCCCCACCCAGCCCTACTCAACCACAGCTCAGTGGGTGGCGGCAGTGAGAACAGACGCTCACTGAGCCGAGCCTGGAGTGTGCCCAAGTTTGAAAGCCACTGGCTGAGTGCGCCTCCACTACCACCCAGGAAGAACCCAGGGTTAGATCTGTCTCCTGCTGCTGGCTGGGACGCAGAGGGCTTCCTGAAGGCCATGTGCCGCAGGCCCCCTTCCAGCGTGCAGCAGAATCCCGCCTCCCTGCACTCGGCCTGCTCTTTGGTGACCCAAGAGCTCCCAAGGAAAGGAGAACATGGGGAAGGACTGTGAAATGGCCAGGTGTGAGGCACTTTTGAGGCCAGTTCATCATTTTAAACTCTAGCAGGAAGTAGAGTTGGAAAAACTCATCAGAAACCTGGCCAAGGCCAGTGTCAAGGCTGAGATCTAGAAGACACACACAGGATAAAGGATCCTTCACTAAGAGAATGCATTTCTCAAAAAACCCAGAGGCCTTGGAATCTTGCTACATTTGGATAATGGAGTTGGGAGAGGACAGAGCAAACCCTCAGCCAATGTGTCCCCAGTGAGCAGTGGCCTGGAGGCCTGCTCCCTCCTCCCTGGGGCTTCTTCCTAGCTGTGAGAAGTTCTCTGCCTGCTGAGATCTCACCTGACCAGACCAGTCCGGCCCAGGAATGCAGCCTGCTGTCTCTCCACTGCCCACTCAAGCACACAGACAGTACTGTAAGGCAAGGGTCAGCAGACCACCACCTGTCTCTGTGTGGCTCACATGATAGATTCTCATATTTCTTTATTTATTTCAATTTGTTTTTTGAGATAGGGTCTCTTTATACAGTTCAGGGTGGCCTTGAACTCACTATGTAGCCCAGGCTGACCTCAAACTTGAGGCAGTCCTCCTGCCTCAGCCTCTCCAGTGCTGGATTACAGGTGAGTGCCACCACGCCTGGCTCTGATTTTCACTTTTAAATGACTGATAGAAATTTTAAAGACTTCTGTAGTCCATGAATGTGATATAAAATTTGACTGTCAGTGCCCACGATGTTCTATTGGAATGGCTCTGCCTGTGTGTTTACACGTGGTCTGTGGTTGCTTCCACACTCCAAGACCAGAGCCAGGAAGGTGCCACAGGGACCGTGTGCCCACGAAGCCCACAGCGCCTATGACCTGGCTTTTCCAGAAGAGGTGGCTGACCGGCTTTAAACAGGGATGCAGTTCCGATCCCACCCCAATCCTGAAGCCAGGGACAGCTGTGTCACCACGTCCCAGGCAGCAGTTATTGTTTACTGTTGGGTTCTTGTCACTCCCATTAAGGCGGAGTGAGTGCTGAATGTCGGTGTGCCCCTCATTCTCCTGTCCCTCACAGCCTCTGTGGGAGAACCCAGCGTGAGCATTTGTTCCAGTTACACAGCACCAACTCAGCAGCCCAAGGCTCAGGTTTTTCTAAGAACTCTTTCTTGCTCTCTGCCCCATTTGCCAAAGTGTCGCTTTTGGTTACGGGCATCTGAAACAATGTTGGCGTAATCTAAGTACCAAAGGTCTGTTCTCGAGAGGATGAGTCCACAGCTTGCTTTCTTACAAACACTTTTTTACAAACTGGGTCTTTCCATGTACCCTTGATATCAGAAAGTTGAAACGTGAATAAAAACCAGACTGGCAACTGAACATAAGCTGTTGCTACTCACACTGCTCTGCCAATCTCAGTTGCAAAACCCAAAAATCACTCCAGGACCTATTTGCAAACTAGAAAGCATCTGTCTGGAGCTATGTTTTCAAAGCCAACTTTGTATTCGTTTGTCAGTAAAAGGGTGGCTGCCTTTGACATCTATCCCGATTTGAGCTAAGTGCTAAACATGACTTGATTGTCATTGAACAGATACTTTTCAGGTATTTGGTGTCTGAAGCCCAACAGAAATACTTCAAAGCAGCTGCCAGGAAGGCTGCACAGAGTGACAAGCCGAGGCGTTTGGGGGAAGGACCCAGAGCTCCAGCCCAGGAGCATCCACAAAGCTGAGCTGGTTCACAACTCGGACTGCCTCTACCCAAGCGGGCGCTTGAAGCGCCTTTCTGGAGCAAGTACACTCCGCCTCGCTTAAGCCTCCGGTGTGGGACTACTCGCTGCTCCTACTTCCAAGCCCCTACGTGGCACGGTGCAGAGGAAGTGAGACCCCAAGGCTTACTCTGCTGGGGAAGAACCAGGGTGGCAAGGGGTGGGACTGGAAGAGGAGGCAGGCAGGCCAGGCTGAGTGCCACACTGCCCAAAGGCAGGAGTCGCTCAGCGGGGGCTGACCTCAGTCTGAGACCCAGCCACCCCAGAAGGGAGAAGAGGGCTGGGCTGACCTCCCTCTTGGTCTCTGAGCCAAGTGGCCTTCTAGGCTTTTTGCTGCTACTCCATTTCCCCAAAACCCTGGGGCAGGGGCAGAGCCTACAGAGGGGGCAACAAGCTCTAATACCCCTTGCACCAGGGATCCCTCTGGAACTCCGGGATCGCCTCCCCAGCAGAGGCGATAGAAGGCAGCCACAGGCGCCCAAAGGACAGACACGGGGCGGGCTGGCCCACAACCGCCAGCATCGCGCCTGCTGCCATCGCCCGCCCAGCTCGGTCCGGCGGGAGGCTAAGGGAGGAGGCGAGTTCCCAATAGGGGCGCCGGTCAAGCCTCCCAGTCGGGGCGCCTCGGAGCGCCGGCCGCTGCGCCACAGAAGCCAGGAGACGCAGGACAGGACAGCGCGCGCTCGCAATCCCGGGGACCCCGCAGACCTCCGAGGGGTCGTGGTTCCCTTTGCCCTGGTGCCGGCCCTCGGCCCCCAGCGCCGCCGCCAGCCACTCAGGGACCACGGGGACCAGAGACTTGGGATCGGGGACCGCAACCCGGCCGTCCCGCGGCGCCCCGCAGACACCCCGCCCGGCAGGCGCACAGGCAGCCCCAGTCCCCCTCCACCCGGCGACCTGGCCGGCGCACTTACCCATGGTGGCGGCTCCGAGGGCTTGGGCGAATGCGAGGAGTCGGCCAGCCGCTCTGACTTTGCTTCCAGGCCCTGCCCAGCGAGCTACCTGTGCAGCTGGAGGTGTGCGAGGCGGGGCTGGCCAGCTCCACCCTCGGAGGTGGCCGTGGGCGCGGAGCAGAGATCGTTGCGCTTGAGCCCCAGCAGGAAGCAGGTGCTCCGCGCCTGGGGAGGTGGGAGGGAGCTGGGGCCCGGTCACAAGCCACCTGGGGGGCGTCAGGCCCCGCCCCGGAACCACTAACAGTAATCAGGACTACAGCTGAGAATGTGCATTTTTAACAAGTCTAAGGGTGATGCCGCTTGCTGGTCCTGGGCCACACTTTGCAAACGGCTGCACACGGGTTACTTTGTGTGCGCGAGTAGAAGTGGGCCACAGGGTCAGTTCTGCGATGTGAGTTACGTCTCTTGGTGCATGCGTGCATTTATGGGTAAGAGTTATGTCTGTTTGTGCATGAGTGCATATATCTGTGTGTGATTTATGTATGTCCATGTATGGGTGCATATGTGTGTGTGTGTGTGTGTGTGTGTGTGTGTGTGTGTATGTGGCTTTACCTGGAGTTTGAACTTTTGAGAACATTTCTGGAGGAGTCCACCTGTCCTTTCTTTAATAAAAATGAATAAAAATAAAAATAATAACCATCTCTGCATCAGTTTTTGCTTTCTGGTCTGATTCGAGTTTGTGTTGTGCAAACAGGGAGGAACATTACAAACAAAAACAAAAGCATCTATTTTAAAGTGGGGGTGAAATGTACATACCATAAAATTTACCATCTCAACTCTGAAGTATATATTAAGAGGGTTAGGTGTTTTCCTAGTGTTGTGTGACTGCTGTCCCTCTCAGTCTCCAGAACATCTCCATCTTCCCAAACTCAAACTCTCCCCCTTCCTCATCCCCGGCCACCACCTGTACCTTCTGCTTCTGTGAACTCGACTCCCTGTGGTGCCTCCTATCCGGGACGTGGTATATCTGTCCTTTGTGGCTGGCTTCCTTCACTTGGCATAATGTCCTCCAGGCTCATCCACACTGCAGCAGGGTCAGAACCCTTCCTGTTTACGGTGCAGAGCGTCCACTACATGAGTGCACAGTGCCTCTTTGTTAACCTTCTCACCTGTCTCTAGTATCTCCCAAGCCCTAGGAGCTCCCAGCTGCACAGGTGGGAGATGTGTATGGGGGAAACAGAGGCAGCCCTTTCTCACAGGTCTGCACCTGCCCTGCTTTCTTCACAGTGCTGGGGAGGAGGAAGCTTCCCACCCTTGCCTACCTGGTGCGCACAGGGTAGCAGCTAATGTTGCCTGGGGACTGGAGGCTGCAGGCCTCTGGGAAGAGCGGCTCGCTCTGGAAGCAGCTTCCCCGTGCACTCGCCTTCAGCTGGCTGGACAAGAGGGGGTGAGATTCCTGTAGATGGGTTTTCTCTGTGGCTGGAACTTCTGTTGTTGAGCTCCTGAACCTTGGGATCCCAGCCTCTGTAGATGCACTCCTGTTCTAGACAGCGGTTCTCAAACATGGTCCCTGGACCACCAGCTGCAGCACCTCCAGGGAATTCCGGAGAAGCACAGATTCTAGACCCCAGCCCAGATCCACAGAACCAGAAACTGAGATCTCTTGGGTACAACAGATATCTTGGCCATGTCAAGGCAACTGTTTCTTCTGAGTGTTTATTTAATCCTTCATTCCAGCACTGCTTATCACATCCAAGCTACCGTGCTAGTGACAGGCATTGGGCAAACTGTGGCAGCAATACAGGCAGCTCTGTGACCTCAGAGCCTGCACTGGTTTGACCTTTTACGCATGCCAAGGAACTCCAGATAGCGATGCATAAATGAAGAACAAAACCCCAGGGTTGTGGGAGAGAAGAGACAAGCTCTGCTGCACCTGAACAGATTAGCTGGTGCCTCAAGTCTACTGGAATTCCCAGTATGACAGGGACTTCGAGTTGGTATTTCTCCCGGGCATGATATTTGGCTGTGGTGCTGGAGACGGCAGAGCTGGGAATGTCAGCCTTGAAGAGTCCCATGGCACTGGCCTCTCTTCAGTCCATCCCTTCCCATCAACCCTTCTTATGTTCACCCTCGGTCCGCTGTAACAAGTCACATGAGCGTCGCAGCTCCAAATAACAGAAATGGATCCTCGCACAGTCCTGAAGGAAGAGGTCTGAAACTGGCATGGGCAGCGTGCTTCCCCCAAGGCTCCTGGGGAGACTCCATCTCATCTCTTTTAGCTACTGGTGGCTCCTCTTTGCTTGCGGCCATCTCGCCCTAAGCCCAGCCTCGTCCTCACACAGCCCTCTTCTCTCCTAAAGGCATTTGTCAGAGGACGTAGGACTGACCGGGGTGAGCTCATCTCAACATCCTTAACTCTATCTGCAAAGACCCTTTTGCCAAATAATGGCACACTCACAGATAATGGTTCCCTTTGGGGGAGCGCACCATGGAGACCACGATAGTCCCCAAAGAGCCCCAAGTCTAGACCTGGAAGTACAGAACTCACAAACTGGTCCTGGATAAAGGGAACTGTCACCTGGCCTCAGAGGACTGTCCTTGCTGAATGACTGTGAAAGAAGCAAATGCCTGACAATGAGAACAGGGCTCAGGGGTGTCAGTAAGAATCACCCCAGCCTGGAGCCCTCACGATGTTCTCCTGACAAAGCACCTGCATGGTGCAAGAGCATCACAGCGGCCTGTGCTGGTAGGAACGCTCTTTTGAGGCGGCTCAAGAACTTTTTGGAGTCACCGAGCACCATCTTCTCCAGCTCTGTCTCTCAGACTGCTTGGCTGTAAAGACCTTTTAATTCCATCCTGGGGGAAACTGGGCAGAGTCAAATATAAAGCAAGTAGCTCCGAGGAGGTGGATGGTTAAGGGTAGACTTTAGGCATAAACAATAGACGTTGGTCTCACAAGTCTGAGAAAGGAGATTCTCAGCTATAGGATGGGATGAGAGGGGAGGAGTTAGCGGTATGAAGACCTGAAGGTCATTTGGAAAATAGGAGGAGAGGAAGTTCCAGCGGCTGGTGGAAGTTTGTTCGGTGATACACTGGAACCCAGAGCTGGCAGGGGAGATGCACATGTCCCAGTGCAGGGCCCCCGCATCCTCAGAATACTAACCGACTAACCCTAGAGCATGGAAGCGGTCTCTGAGTGCTCGGAGACCTTCCTTGCACATTCTCATGTAATTCCTTCCTCACCACAATGGGTATCATTATTAGGGAGCGCTATTTTTTTCTTTTTTAGTGTTTTTGTTACAGAATGTTTCAAAGGTACATGAAGAGGAGGGATATAATGAGCGCTTGTTCATCCACTGGCCCGCTTGGCTCATCTTCCGCCTTGTGCTAATCTTCCCAGATTTTATGAGGAGAAAACTGCAGCGTGCGGTGGTTGGTTACATTGCCCGAGGTCATGCAGCTGGTGGGTGGCAGGGGCAGGATTTGTCCCTCAGATGCCTTCTGTTCCTTAGCCGTCAAGGTTTTCACATTCTCCCTCTCTGTTAAACTCTACTGTCAGTAAAACACCTGCCACACTGCACCGCAGAGGCCCCACAGCTCTGCTGTGATTTCAAAGTGTCCCTAAGACCCAGTCAAAAGCATGGGTCGGAAACTTAATCCCCAATGCAACAGCCTAGAGAATGGGACCCTGGGAAGGGGTGGGGTCCTCAAGATGCTGCCCCCAAGAATGGATTAATGCTAAGCATAGGCCTGAGGCAGGTGGACTGCCACAAGTTCGAGGCCAGCCTGGGTTACACAGGGTTCAAGGCCACCCTGAAGTATGCAGTGACACCCTGCTTCAAAAAACAAACAAACAAATAACAAAACAAAACCTTCAAACAACTCATTAGTAAATGCTTTGAGAAATCACCCTAAATTATGAGGCAAGAAATGGCAGTCTCATGCATTATTGGTTTACATGCCAATAATATTACAATCTATTTATCATCTGATCTAAGAAATGCAGACATTTACAGTACCCTATTTACTGACTTCAGGCTTAATTATATAACACCAGAGTTTTTCTAAGTCCATTTATCTGACAACCTTTCATTTAGTTCTACAAATTTAAGAAAATGTAAATGACGGCGTTTTGGGAGGTTTCGGTGAATAAGTGTTACCATTTGTGTCTAGATGTCCTCCCAAAGCCTCTTTTTTCCTTTATAAATATTTGGAATCTGATGCTCTTGCTTTATTTTTTTTTATAATAAAAAAAGAACAATAGCAAAATACAAACAAAACAAAGCAAGGACATTAAAAATGATACAGGGTTTCAAAACAAAATGATAGGAATTAACAGTGGTTGTTATATTACATATTGTCATCTTCAGCAAAGTTGCTCAGATTACCAGATGTAAGAATAGAAGACTGATGAAACCATTAAAGAGATAAGGAAATAATAATTTAAAAAAAATTAGAGATAATACAGAGTTTCACTAGACAGGATGGTAGGAATTCACCAATGGTTGTTATATTGCATATTGCTGTCTTCACATCAGTTGCTCAGATTACCAGGTATAAGCATGCAAAATTGGTCAAAATATAAAAAAAAATTTAAGCATTAACTGTTCCTTTCAATAAACCACCAGACATCAGGAGTACAGTTATCCCAGCTGTCCTTTTATATACCTCTTGCAGTTTTAGATGGACTTTTTTCAGAGGTGGCTGAATCTACAGTGTGTGATTGATTGGTGGTGCAATGCTGGGATTAAGGGTGGTGGGATTAAGGGTGGGTGACTGCTGGATCAATCCACTGGTTGGATTGGCATCACCCTAATACCCGTAGACTGGATACAATACAAGGGACAGAACGAAGCTTGTTTCCACCAGCATGAACTGATTATGCACTGAAACCTCCACAAACTGTGAGCTAAGTAAACCTTTCCTCCTTTAACCCTGGTGTTGGGTATTTTGTCTCAGCAATGGGGAATTTAGATAAAAGTACATATTTGACATCCAATTTACTCATACACAGTGATTCAGTTGTACAGTAATACCTTGGTTCTTGAACGCTTCTGTTTGGAAACAATTTGGTTCAAAAACAAAATGTTTGGCAAAATTTTGCTTCCACTGGCAAACTTCCCTGCAGGTGACAAACATGACCACGGCCATCTTCCTCACACAAACACAAACACAACCATTTTCCCCTCAAATCATAAAATCAATTAAGTTTGTAAACTGAGGTACTGTATTTTCTAGAGTT